TGAGGACGGAGAGCACGGAGGACAAATCCCCCCGGCAGAGCCTGGTGGGAGAGGCCGTTTTGAAGGGCTCCCCGGTGCAGGAAGGCAGCGGGGAGGAAAAGGCCCGGAGATGCCCCCGGAGGAGGGGCTGCAAAGCCAGCCCAGGGAGCTGTGAGGAGGAAAGAGCCGTCCTGTGCCGGGAAGGCGGCCAGAGCTTGAGCCGGAGCTCCAAGCTGGTGGTCCCTGAGCAGCCTCCCAGCAGGGAGAAGCCCTTCAGGTGCTTGGAATGTGGGCAAAGCTTCAGGAAGAGCTCCCACCTCCTCACCCACCAGCACATCCACACTGGGGAACGGCCCTACACATGTAGGGAATGTGGGAAGAGCTTCAGGTACAGCTCCACCCTGATCAAACACCAGCACATCCACACTGGGGAGAGGCCCTACATGTGTGGGGAATGTGGGAAGAGCTTCATGCAGAGTGCCCACCTCCACACCCACCAGCGCATCCACACTGGGGAACGGCCCTACAAGTGCTTGCAATGTGGGAAGAGGTTTCAGAGCAGCTCCAATCTCCTCCTGCATGAGCGGATACACACAGAGGAGAGGCCCTTCCGCTGCACCGACTGCGGGAAGGGCTTCAAACAGAACTCCACCCTCGTCACCCACCGGTGAATCCACACCGGGGAGAGGCCCTAAAGTGTGGGGAGTGTGGGAAGAGCTTCATCTGGAGCTCTGGCTTATCCTATCACCAACGGACCCACGATTAAGGGAAGGCCCTCAAGTGCCCCGACTGCGGGAAGAGCTTCGGCTGCTGCTCCCACCCCGAATGACCCCCTTGATGGTGAGGCAACCCCTGGAGTCCAGTGACTGTCAGTCCATCCCTTTCTACCAGAAAGGGCCAGTCCCCTTTGCCAGGGGCAGGTTGTGCCAACAGAACCCTTCTTGGGGGTGTGTGGAGATTCCTGCCTTGGCTGGGACCCCCCAAGGTCACTGCTGGAGGTTGAGAGCAGAGATCTCCCCACGAGCGTTGGTCTGGGGGAGTTCCATTCCTCTCTAATTCATAATTCTTGCTTTGGTGCCAGCTTGAGTAGAATTGCTTCAACAATTGCTTCAGTGTAGGGCACTGTCCTATCTTATGCTGTCCTACTGGTAGTTTTAGTGTTTCTGTTGTGCACTAAATAATTCTGATGAAGGTGTTTTGTCTGATCATTTGTAACCCTAAATAATTAATATCTATCAATAGATGTGATTTGCCATCCTTAAAACCTGGGGGACAAAAGTGGTTCAGTCCCACCTCTGTAATTCCTCTGAACTGAATGTTTTGGCATAACCCAAGGCTGAGATTGGATCCAGCAGCCCCAGCACCCCACAGTCAGTTGGGAGCTCAGGGGGGCCACCCTCCCTTTCCCAACCTCCGTGTGCCCAAAACCTCCATGGGATCGTGAGACCCTCCAGTCCACCCCCGTTTTCGACCCTTCTCCCTGTTCCTCCCTATTTTTCATGGTCCTCCTAATTCCCAGTTTACCCCACAAACAGTTCCAACCCCCACTTTCCCCCCCTCCCCTGTAGGTCCTCATGTAGAAAATGAGGCTTCACAGACAGAGTTCCATTTTGGGACTTGTCCAACGACACTTTTCGGTGTCCCCTTTCATTCCCGTTCCCTCGGGAGCAGCACCCGCTGTTTGTCTTTCAGTGCTCCAGAATTCCCAGGATGGCCCCAAAGCAGAGCCCTGATCCCACACATTGCCCTCCCCTCCTGTGGGGGCTGTTCAGCCACCAGAGAAAAACACAGGCTGGTCCTGCAGGCTGGTGCCAGTGCATTTGCACTGGGAG